TAACTTTATGTAATAGTAGTACCTACATAAGATAAGAGTATGAGATATATCTTATATGGTTACTGGTGCCTCTAGACGCGTTAACAATGATTTAAGAATATCGCGTATTAAAAGTGTGAGAGGAATGGGCCGGCTCAGCTAGAAATAAATATATCTTTATCTTTATCTCGACCGGAGTGATACTACGGCCTCACAGAAAACCGACCTAAAACAACGCTTGCGCAATGTGAGTGAGGTTACCGTAAGCACAATCCCCCCCCCCCCCCCCCCCCGAATCCCCAACAATCCTCAACTTCCTAATCCTAAAAGGCCGGTAACGCACTTGTGGGCGACGCCGATTGCTTACCATAAGGTGATCCATCTGACTTATCCCATAAAAAACTCGCAGCGACTTTCGATTACTTACATAATTTACTAATACTAGGTTAGGGATGCCCTTGTAGCCTTGTACCATGCTTTAAAAAGGTCGCTACTAGCACACGCTCGTATGTTTATCTCAACAGAATTTAAATAATAACCGCACTACAAAGTAAGGACTGCAGTAGCGAGTTGATACAGGGGCATATTTTTTATTGTTATAAAACCCTTTCGTTTAAACCCTTTATAATCTCTAATGCAAACCGAGGGGCATTGTATGTTTTATCATAGGAGGGGACTGTCGATTAATGCAAGGATGATAAAAAGAAGAGAAGGGCGATAAAATGTTTCGATTGTCGTTCTTTAAAAATGTGCGCAACAATTACAGAAGCCGGACAACTAATTATCTATAAGGTTCAAATGACCATTTTCGACAACATCTGGCCTGGGTAACGCACACCTCATCCATTGATTTGACAATTTACCTACTTTTGGATTATTTCTCGCTAATTTTAAGGAAATAAACATGCTATTTGACGCAGAAATATGATGACGTCATAAGTTGCGGTCCAATACAAAATTCTTAAAAAAGTATCGTTTTGACATTTCTATAAAAGTATTGAATTTGACTACCTGTCAACTAGCGTATTAAGGTACGTTTTTTACACAAATAAATGTTCAAGCGAATTTTAGAAATATAAGTACCTATATAGTTTTTTATATCATAAATATGTAGTAGAAAGCAGTTACAATGATTACCATTATCGTTTCAGGATTTCTTATATCAGAAATGTAAAACCTTTTGTTGATGAATTTTGAATATTTAGAGAGTAACTGCCGGGTAAGGGATCTCGGTGTTGATTCCCGGGTCGTGCAAAGTATAACTGGGTTTTATCAAAAAATCTCAGTAGTAGCACGAAGTCTGGAAATGTGCCCGGTAATATGGCAATAGGCTTACCCACAAGTCCATGTGACTCATAACAGAAATAGTGAAAAGTGGGTGTTACATTGTAGTGGCATTAAGTGCCGTAATGTGCACCCCTGCCTACCCCTTCGGGGATAAAAGGTGTGACATTGTGTTATGTTAATTATTATGTAAAAAAAGCCAAACCTATGATTCTAAACTGACTTCTTGAGATGAGTAGTACAGTAGTAACTCTGTTTTGATCACCTAAAGTATTTTGAAGGAAAAATTGAGGGGGGAAAGGATAAATAAATACAATATCACATTGCATACGTAATATCAATTTATATTTCTACAAAACATGATATGCTGTCTCTATATTGTTAAACATTTATGAAAAAATATTACATCTCTGATTTGAACATGGGTTATTGTGTACAATTTATATGAAAACACAGTTATATTTGTCATGATTTCTCACATACACATTATATTACACAGATCTATTTAAGCTATACAATTGTGTATAGATAGAATTTATATAGTATTAGGGCTGGAAGTCTCGAAATAATCGACAGAAATCGATCGCTAACTTTTCATTAATAGATTTTAAACTATATTACACAATTTTAAAGTTCAAAATCTATTAAAAATGATCTTTTTAGCGACTGAACTTTGTCGTTATTAATGTCGGTACTGCCGGCCCTTTACAAATTTTAGTAGAAGAGAAGATTTGAAAAATTAAAAAATAAGAGCAATTAAAAACATAAACAACTTGATCACACTATGCAACTGATTATAAAATATAATTAGTTTCAGTAATTGAATAATTACCGCTTAAAACTATCACATTAATAACTAAGTATTCTATTTTATGGGACTAGAAGATCAATTTTTTACAATAAAAGGCTTTTATAATTTATTCATAAAAAATATAACTCTATTTGAACTATAGAGATACTTGCCACTCTTTAAGTCTTTACGAGCTGTTGTCTATACAATGGATATTTCAGATCCAGGTTTATTAAAAAAACCTCAATGAGACTTAGCTCTATCGGCGATTGGGAATACCCGATGCCTTGATCGGCGATTGAGTCAGCAGACACTTGATAAAAGAGGCCCTCTATAGTTAAAATAGATTTATCTATTTTTTAATGAATAATGTCACATTTATTCACCACTACCAAACAGTTATAGACATGTTTTAGTTCAAAACTAACAATTTTAATTTAATTTTAGCAGTGGTTAAATATAGCCTTGTTATTAAATATATATTTCTTAAACCAGCAAATCAAGGACGGAGACGAACTCCAAGCTCGCTTTTTTTTTAATAGGATAGGTTAACAACTAGGCTTTTTACATTAGGAATTTGAGTGTGTCGAAATTACCCTGAGTCCAAAATATATCTGGATAGTATGATTGATCGAGATACTAAAGTGGTTCTATAGTATTTTTTATTATAAAATAAGTCGGTAAATGAGCAGACGGATCACCTAATGGTACGCAATCGGCGTCGCCCATGGACACCTGGAACACCAGTGGCGTTACAAGTGCGTTACCGTCCTTTTGGGGATTAGGAGTTTGAGGATTGTTGAGGATTCAGGGATTGGGGAGATTGGGGAAGGGGAGGGGGGTAATTGGGTTAAAAATTTGTCATTCAGATTTCTAAGAAATTTCTTTACTTTTTCCTACACGACATTGGAAGCACTTCTTTAATATTTCAATCAGCCATATTTGTTACTTTTCTTTTTATCACTACATCGCTGCATGAGGTAGTCGGATGATATAAATGAAAAAATATACATCTGTTTTTTTGTACATAACCTCTAAATCACAATTCCACAAGGCTATGGGTCAATTCAAGCTGCTTTAGTACCTACTTATAGTAGGATAGTCTCTTTTCTAAACATTTAAAATGGGAGCCAGCCAAGTTATTTAGTACGCAGGTAAGAAAATAAGGATTAGTTCAGAATAGAGACAGTAACAGTAATATTAACTTGTATAATGGGTACTTTCCTTAATCAAAAATATATTATTTCGACTGTAGTAATTTAGATAGTCTAATCGCGATCACCAGCTAAATAACATTTTGTATTGACTAATTATTATAATTAAATTGTAATTAATAAATAAATATATTTTTTTAATCAAAATCCCGACTACCGAAACATTACTCTGTTCAATACAATAAAATGTTTAAAAAATTATCACACTTTCATTATTTGATTTTATGACCAACCGGGCTTGTTTGTAACATTTCTACATCATCAATGGTAGTACGTGTGAAGCAATGAATAAATATTCTACTCAATACACCATGATCGAAATTGATCGAGAGATTTTTATTTTTACCGAATCAACTTTTATTATCTCACTTGCATAGTAAATAACTTAACTGACAGTAAATAAGTGATAAATATAATTTTTATAACAATTTTTAGTACTTTAAATACTTTTTAAAACTTTTAATTATCATCTTTTCTATCTTTATAAGTATGATAGTATAGCCGCCAATATATTAAATATTTAATTTTATATTTATAAGACTTTAATAAAATACTCATGGTACATTTTAATGTGAGAAGACACGATTGTAAAGGCAACATAATAAAGTATACACAGTTGGTGTTAAAACAGATTTTACCCTGTTATATACAAACTGTTCATTATAATACATATATATTTAATATATACTATATACCAAATGTAATGAAATACATTGTTGCCGTATTGTCCAAAATTTACTTTCCATTTTAATCCTGGCACTAAATTTCGAACACATTTGTTACTTAAACCATTACCCATAGACAAGACATTATTTTCAATCGAATACTTTTAAATTTAATACGTTTAGAAGCCACTTTTTGGCACTTTTTTTAATAACAGTCGCGTAGGTCATTCAGACCACAGGCGTATTCACAGGGGAAGACTGGTACACTGTTAAATATAGTTTTTTTACAAGTTTCAAGAAAGAAGAGACATCGAGACTAAGAATAGAGTGTTTCACAATAAATAAAGGTCAATTACACGTTAAAATACGTTCATACGCCTATGGTTAGTTATCCTTGTAATGACAATAATGTTGCAAATATTATTTCACTTAACTATTATTATGCTTATTAAGTATTAATAATTAATAATGGTGGGGCAAACACAAAGGTGACTTACCAAATCTAAGTAACAATAAAATATCACCCACGCAAACAGTAAAGTATTACTTTTAAAATCATAATAATAATAATTAAGTATTAAAGTAATAATAAAACTTAATTCGAACGTTAAATAAAAACTTAACGACCTAACTTCGTGTTAGTGAGAGACGAAAGTAATCATTAAAAATATCGTAAAAATCTAATAATTTCTAAGTTTATCTGCAATACTTCCCGTACAGAAATATAATAGATAAAATTTAAGTCGAATAAGGTTTTAGAAGGTAACTGTATTTAAACTGCACTCTGCATACCAATCATGTAGATAAACGACCAAAAACTATCGCGTTATTGTCACCAGATGGTGTTATAGTAGCGGCAGGTCGTTAGGCCTGTCTGTCCAATTAATGTAGCTGTAATTTTTTTTCGGACGAATTTATACTCAATAGTTCTTATTGGAATCATATTCAAACAGTACACTGTCTTTACAGTCAGTTAACTGCTCATAAGCAATTTTTAAAGTCAGAATGCAGTTTAAACCCAGTCCTACCGATCTAGAACCCTAAATAAACTAACCTAAGTTGATCCAGTTACTGCAGCCGGGAGCAGCGCGAGCAGTAGTCTCCGTTGTCGGGGCTGCCGTAGTACATGCAGAGCGGGGCGCGGCAGGGCCGGGGCTCGGCCGGCCGGTCGTCGTAGAACGTCGAGCGACTCAAGTACAGCGTCCTGTCGGCCGGCGCGCGCGCCCCGCCCGTGCTGCCAACTCGCGGTTGTTCCGTTGTTGACGATGTTGATGACGATGTTGTAGTTGTCGGTCGTTCTGCTTCTGCGTAGAATTGTGAGCGTCCTGTACCGTAGCGAGGTTGGGAAGGACCTACTGGCTCTTTGCGGTTCTTCTCGGCTGTGTATCTGTGGATTGAAAAGTTTAGTATTATAGTTTGTCTTTATACAGATCGGTATAAGCCACAGATAAAGTCATTGGGAGTAAAATTAGATCAATGATGATATTTTATTGAGTTAGACCCCATATACATGTCGCGGAAAATCTAACGGGTTACTGGGGCAGGAGAAGGAACGGGGTGGTTTTTAGTCAGTAAGAGTCTGACACTCCCTCCCGCCTCACCCAGGCGGGAGTAGTCATTCGATGATTTTCCCCCCTTAAAAAAGATCCCATATACATTATTTGCATATTTTATCTCTATCCAACTTTGATATGGTAAAGTTAATACACCACAAAAAACAAACAAGTACATAATATAATGTGAACGTGAAGATATAAAATGCTAAACTCACCCGATCCAAGCCTCATTCAGGTAATTCTTAACCATCTCCTCCTGTACAGGAGCCCTGGCCGCCAACACTCTACAACACAACACTTCACAGGTGGACTGCCTCGTCATCAGACTCTCCTCAGGGTTACTATGGCTCCCACTACTCTTCCCAGCCAACTTCGCCATGGAACCAAAGTTCTTCTTAAGCTTACTGCTCATTGACCTCCCGATACTACCAAATTGTTTGGCAACAGAGTTCAACTGCTTTGAACTTTTGGTGGACAGGGCGTCCAAGGATCTTCGCAGTTCTTCTGGAGGTTGATTCAGGGAGATGCACTCGATTCGTTCAAGGTCGAGGTATGCTGCCAACATGGCCGAGCGCTGGTACTCGTCAGGGAGGATGTTGTTTATCGTCTTCTGGTCTGGCTCTACGTCCCAGGGGAAATCTTCGCCAGGGTCTACGTTGAATCTGGAATGGAAGGTATATTAGTTTAGCTGAGGGTTATTTTTGGAACCGATCACAAATTTGATTGGAAAAAAAAGGTTTTATTAAAATTTAACAATGGTTGGCCACTTATCGCTTACCGCCAGACAAAATCGGTGGTCAAACGCTAAACTATTAAATAAGAAATAATATAAAATCTATATTACAAGGAAAACGAGTTATTAGAACCAAATAATGTCTATCGATCACATCAAGGAATAAATAGTGATTTGGCCTTAAAATTAATCAGTGTTTCTTATGTCAAACAAGACTTCAAAGTCAAAGCATTTATTTCAATTAAACCATAATTTGATACTTATGAAATGTCAACAAATACAAAATAAATAATAGTCTGTCAGTCAGTTCGTCGTGAAGCTAAGTGAAGCTAGGTGCTCATTCCAAAATGTAGATTCGAATGGAGAAGAACGAGCAAGAAACTCCATTCCTTACTTTTTTTAAAAAAGTATGTTTTACAATGTCTCTGATACATATCCTGTAAGTATATGTGAGAACAATACAAACACACGCTTGACGCAATATACTAATTATAAGTAAATACCATATGCATTTGTAAAAGAAGGCTTAAATAATACCTTATGGGCATGGGATTCCCAGCACTATCCTCCAATGGCACGCGAGCGCCATCAGACGGCAGCGGCTCGCAAGGTACGAGCGCGGAGAAATGTCCCGCGTCATACGCCAGCAGTATCGGCGTCTTACTGCATGCTTCCGGGGACAGTTCTAGAGGAAGGTACACTCCACCAAATGGAATCGGAGCTATTGGGTCGCCTCGGAAATCCTGGAAGACATATAATGGTAAATTAGATAAAAAAGGGAGTTTTAAAGTTAAAAAAAAGCTTCTACAGAATGGATTTTTAGGCGTATATTTCTTTAGGAGGAACCAGTCGCAGCTTTTTTTATGGCATAATCCGGTAAACGAGCAGACGGATCACCTGATGGTAAGCGATCGGCGTCGCCCATGGACACCTGGAACACCGGAGGCGTTACAAGTGCGTTACCGGCCTTTTGAGGATTAGGAGTTTGAGGATAGTTGGGAATTCAGAGATTGGGGAGATCGGGGAAGGGGAGGGTAATTGGGCCTTATTACAATTGGGCTAACAACAATTGTATACAGCTCGAAAGGTATATCTCTAGATTCATCTACAATTTTAGCTAGGCATATAGCGAACATTGCTCTATGCAAAGTCATCATAATTAATCTAAGAATTTTACATTGAAATCTGTTATTAAATTGGCCGTTAGTAAAGCGCTTTGTTTTAAAGTATCAAATTGTACATTCCTAATGAAAAGAACGATATAAAATTCATAATACATTTTTTCACTAAACATATTGCATTATCTATATCTAAACATATTGCATTATCTATATCTAAATGAAATCCGTTTCCCTTTGTCACGCCATAACTTGAGAACGGGTAGACCGATTTGGCAGATTTTTTGTTGTGTTTGTTATCGTTAGGAGAAGGTTCTTATGACAGAAAAAAGTCCTAAAAAATCCTACGGGAATGGGAGAAACGGGATTGCGCGTACAAAGTCGCGAGCAGAAGCTAGTATGTATATAAAATTGAATCCCTTTTTTCCATTGGTCACGGCATCACGCGTGATTGGCTGGACCGATTTCACTAATCCTTTTTTTGTTGTATTTGTTATTATTAGGAGAAGGTTCTTATGACTAAAAAAACCCCTGAAAATCCTACGGGAACGGGAGAAAACGGGATTGCGCGTACGAAATCGCGAGCAGAAGCTAGTAGCTATTAAAAATAAAAGGAAAAATAAATCAAATATGACGTACGAAATCGCGAGCAGAAGCTAGTAGCTATTAAAAATAAAAGGAAATAATCTTCGGGGATTAAAGGCGTGATGTTTAAGTGTGGGAGAGCCATGCTTCGGCACGAATGGGCCGGCTCGACCGGAGTGATACCACAGCCTCACAGAAACCCGACGTGAAGCAACGCTTGCGTTGTGTTTCGTCGTGTGAGTGAGGTTACCGGAGGCCCAATTACCTTCCCCTTCCCCAATCTCCCCAATTCCTGAATCCCCAACGATCCTCAAACTCCTAATCCCCAAAAAGCCGGTGACGCAATGTAACGCCTCTGGTGTTCCAGGTGTCCATGGGCGACGATTGCTTACCATCAGGTGATCCGTCTGTTCGTTTACCGGCTTATGCCATAAAAAAAGTTATTTTATGAATTTAGTTTCTTACCCTCAAAGCGACATCAGCAAAAACAATAACGGGTCTCCTCATGACGTGTGCCAGGGCGAAGACATGTAGATGTTCCAAGGCGGCGTAGTGCGGCGCGGCGGCCGGCGTGGCGCGCGCCGGCTCCGGGGACGCCGCCGTCACGCACTGCGCCCACTCGCGCTCCCACTCCGCCTCCGACGGCGTCAGCCCGGCCGACCGCAGCGATATGCTCTCCGACCAACGCCAGCGCCGTTTTATTGCGTCTGTAAGAGAAAATTTACAATTTTGTAAGAGAATTTTCGCTAACGACCCATAAAATGTAGCATTTCAGTGAAGATTTAACTTTAATAATAGTTATTATTATTATAATGTAAATAAATAACATTGATTGGTCGCTCGGTTACAGTACTTAATTAAGTCATTATCTAATTTAAATCTGATCTAACTTAACTTTTAAACACAAAACATTTTATTTTCAATATTCTGTCACAAATCAGTTCTCTGTAAAAGCCTACAAAATCGCTAATTAGAGTATTATGAACTTAATGTAACATAAAAGTAATTAGTGCAAGAACATACAGGGGAAAACGTAGATAACATTCTCAAACACTTACTAGTAAGTACTTCGCCGCCCTCTCCGGACAGGAGAGCCTGAACTTTGGTCCGCAGAGCGAGCAGTCTGTCATGGAATCCATATGCAGCTAGTGAAGCCGCGTGAGGGAGGCAGTTGCCATCGCCTGACGTGGCGAGGGGCAGGAGACGAGGGGCACCAGGCACCCGCCCGTGGCGCCACCAGTTCAATATATTCGCAGATTCTAGAGTCACTAGAGTCGCAGTCTCTAAAAGGTCCTTCTCTAGGAAAGTCCTGGAAAGATGTTGATTTTGTTAAAAAGATCCGATAACTGGGCAGCATTTAGACACGCTTAGAATACGCACTTGAAAAACCTTTCGATGTACATAATGTCGACGACATCCATAACCACTTTCGAAGACGTTCGGTCAAAAAGCAAAACCGCAAATTAAGTACAATAATATATTATTTCCATTCGTGGACTGTCAGGTGCTATCAACAAAATCAATGGCCAATGTTGGTTTCATGTCTCCGAAACACGAAAAGGTTAAAGAACGGTAAACAATAACAGAAAGTTCAACGGCAGACACAAACTGTTGGGTTGCGTGTGCAACGCTAATGAATGTTGGCTAGCTGCCGACCGTATGTACGCAGGTACGCGGCCGCACCGTACGACACCACTCTAACACTATATTTGACATACGTGACTAATTAAAAAGGGCACTATTCCAAAAAAATGCAAATATCAACGACTCGTGTCGCTGTCACCACTCGATTTCACTGTCTAGCAAGTCATTCTCATATTTTTATACTATTATACTAACGCTGAATGAATGTTCAAATGGTCAGTCTCGTTTTGTAAATAACTCTGCAGCAATAAATCAAATCGAAAGGAAAATCCATTTATAACAATTGAAACAATAGCGGCCGGAGTGGACCTGTTTGTGGATAGTGATGACTTGTCCTCAGTTTTCGCTAAACAAAACATACCTATGATGGCCTTGCGTCGAAAATAGCTAGGCAATCCAATTTTAGTACGAGATTAAGTACGAAAGCCCGTTCTTAGTCCATGTTCGTGCAGATAATATTAAATTACGAAGATTCGGAATCTGAAACCACGGCTTCGGTATACGATTCTCGAATTTTCGGTGTTGAAATCCACTACCATATTAATACACCTTTCCTTAACATTCCAATTACTTGACACCCACAGAATTTTGCCATTATTGGCAACGTAGCAAAAATTACTGAAAGTTACCATAAAACGCCAAAAATAACCTATTAGTTCGGAAGAAAGTCTTTTCAGGAGACATTTCCATTTTATATTAACTTACCTAAAATCAGGTGGGTATACAGTAATATCTGGGAGCAAGAGTATGTGATCCGAATTGATTGTGTTCGGCTCCGGCTCAGTATTGTTGCGCAACGCCCACACGAGACCCTCATTGTCTGTAGCGCGGGAGATACCTCGCGAGAGCTTGCGACCTGATGGAAATATATTAAGGTCAGAAACATATTAGATACATATTTAAAGGTCACAGAGCCTTAAATTAATTATTGGAGTTTGGGTGATCTAAAAGAGGAATGAACACATGCATTGAAGCTCGTTTGGTGTCATTCTACATAGTTGGAGCGCTGTAGGTATTTTACATACATAGCCTTAACTATTTAGGTCGAAAGGACTTTATTCTGCTGTTTTCCTTCTACTATTTCAGTTCAATGGTCCTTTAAGTGAAAATGGTTTTGATTAAATATTCTCACCAAAATATTGTAGTTAGACTTACATTCAGGCGCAGGTGTGAGCACCAGGTTTGAAGGGGCCGTGAAAGACATGTTAAGGTCGAGAGTGCCGACCGAGCGCTCAGGAGATATGACGTCACCGCCCGCCCGCGCCTTCAACGATGCGCCGTGCACTCTTTCTGAAAGAAACATTCCGTAATCAAATAACGCATCACGTGTATTACGTACTAATGTATTTATATCCCACACTGAATCACATTATAAATTTTACTTCATCACACATCTCGGTTTATTTTCGGTTTAGATATTCAAAACATGAGTCAAAATTTAATGTTTTGCTACTACAAAGAACATACCACAGCTCTCGTCACTCATTGAGCGGTCCTAAGTGCTACTTAAACTGTTAATTTAAATAATTGGGTATTAACACTGGCTATTGTTAAAATAGGTGACTGTATAACAAACAATACGCGTTCAGAATGCACAATTCTTCGACTCTACACGAACGAGCAAAGTGTTGTACTGGACATTGGTAATGAGGATAGAAAATATCATTTTATAAATATAAATAAAATTCATAATTAAATCGAGCAAAAACCCCAGCCATCGATACATTGTTATTTCTCGGATGTTGTTTATCAGTATTTTATGATAAGTTGGGGAAAATGTGTATCTATAGGAAAGTGAAATATGAACAATGGTTGCATCGAAATTACTATATTCGGTTGATTGGGGATACCCACATAACTAATGAGATAGGGCTGGTCAGGAACTGCCTAAAGTAAATGAGAAACGATCAGGAATATTAGGATCAGTATGGATGATAATGATCACATGTTAGAGAACGACGAAACAATTTTATAATAGGAAATCCAACATGAACTATACAGAACAATATGAAGTATTCAGCTATGCACTGGTTATTTGTCATGATAGCTTATTATGATTGTAAAAAACTAAAACAATGTCTATAAAATTGCTAGCAGATGAACAATTTCCAAAGTATATTTCATAGTCATCATCATCATCATCATCATAAGCACACCTATTCAAAATCTCCATATAATATATATATACTTCAATATCAACAAATCAAGCTAAGATATCAGATTCAGGACACAAAACCCAAATTGATTTATCAGTGGCGCCACACCATGATGTTTCCGATACGCAAATAAGAGAGGAATACAATAGACGCGATGGAGCAAGACCGTACGACCGGATTGACAACGTGAATGGCCAATCTGAATAATACTGGCCATTCAGAACCATCGGATCACGATACGGTACATTGATTCTTTGTAAATCGTTTGTTTCAATTTAAAAGGCAATTTGCACATTTTGTTCTTTTTCGTTACGTCTTATCAAGACTACAGGATGGTTTTTAGTCAGTAAGAATTTGATACTATCTCTAGCCTCATCCAAGGCGGGATGATGAAGTCATTGGATGATGTTACCCTCCCAAAAAAGGGTTGTACTCGTAGCTCTTTTGGCCGACATCAATCCAAAATGGTGAGTAACTTAAACCGATGCAGCGATTGTTGTGGAGGTTAGATGTTATTCGCTCAATGAACCGATGAATGACAATAATATTGACAGGTCGGTTAGGACTAATTGCATGATTATTGTGATTGGAAAAATAGTGATCCAATCACGGATAGTCTCAATATTAAACCAGAAAACTATGCAGGAGGTATTGTAACTATGTAGTGCATGCGAATGCAAATGTTTACCTATAACAGGAACAATAGAGCTCTTGCAGTTATTTTCTAAGAATGAAGAATTTTTGTCGAGAAAAACTTTGAAAAATGTCGCTTACAGAGGGAGACTTGTTGCAATACAGTCCAAATTTTTTAGTTAATACACCTGTATTTATGACCGGTTTGTAAATTGACTATAGTAACAAAACATGTACACATCTTTCGGTTCTATTATTTAATAGTGAAAGAAAAGTAAATGTTTAAATAGAGTCACGCAATATCAATAAAAATGTTATGTGCAACTCGCCTCGTTAGTCCAGTCGTCGTAACTTTATAAGAGTGACAGTTGAGTATGTGGTTTCGAAATTGTCAGTTATAGCAGATAGCTTGAAGTAAAAGTACAGATTTAATTATATATTTGCCACTGCTTTTAATCCCTGAAGAAATAGGTCGAGGCGCCCAATTTCAATTAGTCATGTTAGAATCCTTAGAAGTCCTACGTAATCGGGATAGAGAGTTTATTGCCATACGAAGAGGGTACTTTCAGATTCCGTGCCTATTATCTGGGAATTTCAAAGATCAGTAATCCCCAACTCGATTACATTTTCTTCGAAGCTCGATAATCGTTTGCGACCTCTTGCCACGGTCAACACAACTATGAAACGCTCCATTAGTACCTAGACGACCTCGTTTTAGAAAAATAGTCCAAAATATGAAACAGATGTAGTATAATAAAACAGCATTTATAAAGATTGGTAAGACGCACATATTTATGAAGATGTTAACTAGCCAGGAAGACTAAGATAGAATGCTAGCCGTAACTACAAATCACGAGGAACATCAAAAGCGTTGTCTGTCTGTCTGTCTCTGATTTGTGTTCCGATAATTTAGTTTCCGTTCCTGCGAATTTGAATCAAAATGGTCGGCTCGTGTAGCACGAGGTCGGGTCAGTAGACACAGGAAGTTTGGAAATGGCCAATAGACTTGCCCTCTATTTAAATGGGATTGATCAATGCTGCTAAAAAGACTATACGTTTGTGGATAATTTCGGAGAATTAGTAACAAATTAATAAGTAAAAGTAATTGATTGTATTCTTTATAATCCTACATTTGTTAGTAATTTGATAATAAAATAAGTGACAGGAGATGAGAAGCATATATTTGGAACTAACAGATCTGGTGTTGCCATTTTAAGACGTGCGAAATGTTACCAGATACCAAACTTGAGACAGTTTACAAATAACGTCACAGATTCAGTTTGTTACAGAAATAGATTTTATCGACACATTCCTCACGCGTGTTACAAGATTGTTATCAAGTTTCCATCTAATAATAAAACTAGGAAATACTTCAATAGCCGCAACACAACTGATTACGGGCTGACTCTTGGAATAATTTCCATTAGCCTTCATATTGACAGATAATCTAAAGATATTGTTTACTTATAGCAAATGTGATTCATAAACATACTGAGAATGACGATGATACAAATCTAATTCACTTCCTTCAACCAAATGATAAAAGAAAATACGTATTAAGTATACTGATCTGCGTTCGAAGGGAATCGAACACAAATCTCTTGCTTACCTCGCTAACAACAAGGCCACCGAGCCATGATTCATTTGCGCGATAAAAACTGTCTATAAGCGGCCAGACATTCAAACAAAACGGATTAGGGTACGTGCCTAGTATGTGTACTGTGTAGATCAGACATTTAGGCCAATGACTTTGGAAGCGAAAGAAAATGGGAGGCTAGGAAATAGGACGGGCGTCAATTGGGACATGACGCGCATGACACATGTTATTAATTCTATGTAGCAACCAGATTACACAATAAATCATTTGATACATGAGTTTAATGCTCTTAATGATGTAGATCTAGAAGATAAACTCCATGCTCCATAAATACCAGGACCTTTTTCGACGGCTTTGAAACGTTTAGCAAAAAGAATCCACGAATAAACCAAGCATTTACATATTTGTGGTAGAAATATGTAAATGTAAACGCCTACAAATAGAAGTATAACGCTAAGAATTCTGAATACTTCTAGCGTTATTGCGATTTAAGTGCTCGATAAATTAGTTTCTGGCAGTCGAATTGACCTCGGCTTCATTCAATTATAGACCTCTGTCGGCTGTACCGAAATGCCAAAATTCAATAAAACTTCTTAATAGAACGTGCTAGAATTATTGATGGAATTGTTTTATATTTACCATCATTATGTTTGCCAGCTATGGGGTCGGCTTCCATCACCATCCCGGACTACCTACCCTGTAACAAAAGATTTTTCTTCAAGTCATTTAACAGCAAACGGAATATTACGCCAATGTCACAAAAAATATTTAAGTCCTCGTCAAGGCTTGAACGTAAATCGATATTAGGTACCTCGCTTGCCAACTAGCAAACTGCGCCAACCACATGCACACGAAGCAAGTCAAATAATATTTCGTTATTTATTGGACAAAAAACAGTGTTTACAGTGTGCTTTGCCAGCGCTGAAAATGACGAATTAAGTCCAGAAATATCATCATGAGCAATAATGACACGTAGCACCACCCACATAGATTTTAAATAGATTTAAATTACCGGTTCAGATCGTAGAGTTAATTGTTTTCTTGGACACACACATGATATTGCTTACGGCACGTTTACGCTTTGTTTAGAAGCCAGCGAGGCGGGAGATAAAGGTCTTTATGAAGTGGTGCCTCTTGTTTGCGTCTGGTGACGATTGCGGAGACGACATCGAACAACAAATCTAATTAGAATACCTATTTGAATGCATGAATGATTTCCAGCCATCGTATACTTGAGCATCTTTATTCAATCATCTACAGCTGTATCTACATATTATACAGATTTGTTTTCTCAGTCGGAGCGTAAGTTATCATTTTAATTCTACATTGGTACAAAAATAATTTGAAAAGGACGATGAGCCTTCAGTAATGCAGGTAGTCAAAGTCAAATTTTATTATAAAGGTCCGACAAACAACCACTTTAAACACAGTCAAACAAAGGTTAGCAAAATAAATTATAAATGTATCTGGTTATCATACATATAGTGTACACTAATACGGCAATACATCCTACGACACAACACCTACGTTATAGAAGTTTGCAGATTGGCCATAAAAGCAATCTTGGCTGGAATATGTAGGCATCACGTGTTTCTGTACATAGTTATTTGTTTTTGTATGTATATTCTAATGGTTTAACTGATACGGAATATTTTACGTATGAACAAACATGTATATAGCAGGTACAATACAAGGTCATTTTTTTCTTAACATTACCCGGTGTGTCCGAAATCCAACAATTAATTCAATATAATCTGTACAAGAGTTGACATAAGGTCCATAATTTAACATTTTAATTAAATTCTGAAGTACTATTGACAGCATAATATGGTTTAGAGAGCAATTGAAACGATCTCGTCGAGATCTAGGCCATGACTCACGTTTGTATTCGTTTTTCTCTATCAAAATATAAGGAAATGAACCGACATCGCCTTCCTTGAAGAAAAAAAACAATAACAAAGCAATAAAGGAGGAAATATGGAGGTCAGTTTTACTAATTGGCCGTACGGCGGAGAACTGAAAGCGATATGTTTCCCAAATTGAGCAATCTAACAATCCTGAGTACGTTCTTGTTTACTTAATTAGAGCCTAAGTGCTAAGAATGTGGCCGTAAGAATATTATCACAGTTAGCATCACTTATTATGTAAGTGTCTGGTTTAGAGTTTAGACCTGTACCTCCAGTGGTATTTAGTTCTTCAAGGTGTTTGTTTGGATATGGCATTGTAATCACGTTTTGTTTCATAACGGTGATAAAGCAATCAAAATTGTTTTTAGTGTTGTGGGCCTTGCTATTCGCAGAATGAGGTTAGGAACTTTTTAATTGGACTAGAGGTTTATGAGTATGAACCTTTGATTGAGTTCACTGTAGTGTAGAGCTGTTAAGTAGCTGCATAATTTAGCAAATGTGGCGATTTTTTCTTTTGACGTACAGGAGTGATTGAGAGTAATTTTAACTGAGGCCAGTTAAAAGTACAATGTAGCCAAAAAATGCTGATGTGAATACTAATAAAAAGCAACATTTTGTTCGGCTTGCCAGGACAGAATTGGGACTAATGACGTCAGTATTTAAATAAGGACGATGTGACAGAATGTATAAAAATCATCCGAAAACAAGTGAACAATGATTCATGAACTCATAACATTCCTGTTTAAGGCATTCAGGTAAAATTATTGAAGAGATTACGTATATGACGCCGGATACGTCACAGCCAGATGAATAAATGGTCAAACCATGAATGGGGATGACATTGAAATTGGAATTCGGGACAGACAGAATAAAATTACTTTATGTGGTGATGCGGTGGTTTGAATATTAATGCAATGCAGATGGGTTGCAGAGGGCCGAGACGTTACAAAGAAATGTGGGAACGGATTTTCCATTCAAAAGGAAACAAGCTTCACGTGGTCGTAACTTTATTTTTATCCTTTTGGAGATGTTTCCTCCGTCTCTTATAGTAAGACTGACGTCGTGTCTACATTTGTTTTAGTTTTTTTTATATTTTTTATTTATAGAACGGTCCGTTGTTCCAGCTCGTCATAAACTATATTTTTATAGCAAGCAGGGAGGGCATTGTGAGCATAAAATTATGTTTATTTTATAATTTATACATTGGAAATTGTCCTTATAACATTTACCTTCATCAATCGTATTATACCTTAGGTCAGTTGCCTATTGACTAATACCTCGCCTTATATGTTTAATTAACTTAGCTGTAAGTATTGATTTTTAGCGTGCGTAAGCAAATTTCTTTACAGCAATTCAACCTTGCTTAATGAATGCCTGAGGGTCAACGAATTCGCCGTGAACGTAATTAAGAATCAAGAGAATGCCTTCAAAAAGTCAGCTTATAATTACTTTTTTGATCACGATATAAAGTAAAATTAACAAGGATGCTTGAGAAATATCAAAGACTTTATTCAATTTGGCCGTATTAGTCCGCTAGGAAGTATCTCGAAACTCTGGCGGCCTGCCAAGTGTTCATCACCAATTTTATGTCGATAACAACCATGACTTTCAGATGTTTCGGTGTCATCGTTGCGTTTGATCGTACTCGTGTTTTATTGAATTCTTTATTGGTAGGGGCGTTAACACTTTCTCGACGTTTTTATTTCAACTCTCGAGCTGTTCTGATGTTCTCACAGTGGAATAATGGTCTCATATTGGTTCCAATCATGCAATATAGTTCTTATGTCACGAAGGCAGATGTAAAATTCACACAGTTCTCAGTATTAAGTTCTTGGGTTCTGGTTGACGGCGCTGCAGGAATCTTTGACCTTAATATGCATAGCTTGTCACGGTCGGCTGTTGTTTTGAGCCCTGCTTAGGACTTAGGCAAGCGAATCGATGAGTACACCCAAATGAATAAATGTAGTTATTCAATAATTTGGAACAAATCGTTTAGATCTTAACAAAGAAGAATTAGATAGTACTAATTACCAAGTAATTAATTGGGTTCACTTTCAAAATGAAAAGCGTCCTACGTTCACTATCAACCAGGGATCGTCGGAAACTGTTCAAGTTAATTGAGGCGCAAAGATTTCCACATAGCAGACAGCAGATAAGCTTTCCATGATCCACTATACACGAACAACTTTCGCATCGACTTTTTGTGAACTGAGCGATGGTTATTGCAAACCCATTCGTATTTCCACACATGTCATTGTGTAAGAGAAAGTTGTATTGTATTAGGCATTGGTATGCGGTACTTGTAACGTTACTTTGGTTTCTATTAGACCATGGATTATGAAGGGTGTTCTGTTTCAGTTTGAATGAGGTGTAAGTGTTATTTTGTTGGGAGATTTTATTGCAGTTTCTTTCATAGTTATGCAATTCTTTACTGGTTAAGTCTGAATTTAAACGTAGTGTTTGTGTAAAATATTTCTTCTCTTTGGCAATATGTTAAACGTGCTATATAAAGAATACATTCAAACATAATATTATACCCGATGTATCGGGTTTTATTGCAATATTCAAGTACAAAAGTGGAAGCAGCTGGTAAACTGCACCTGTCTTCACTTAGGGCGTCTTTATCATCTGCCGTAAGATGTGCGATCCTTTCAAAACTTCTTGTTTTGTGTTTTGTAAAAAGATCCGAACACAGCTGTTTCTTTCAGTGGTGTAGTAGTGGTACACCAAATTTTAGTCCAGATATTCAGATGTTTTAGTTATTCGTTCTAAATTGAGGCCAATTTATAATCTTAGTTTGATACCCTAGGACCTGGATAGATGGTGGTGGTTTATATTATAATTCCGTGTACCTCATTATCTCAATGATTTTACCTGTTCATTTATACTTAGAATCGTAGACACGTAGTGAAAACGTGACGAAAATCGTGTATGAAATGATGATAAAGATTAAATAAGTCTAAGTGGTACATATTATGGTATATAACATAATCTAATCAAAATATGATTAAAATTCGCTGTGATTAACGTATGATGTCATTCCTTATCTCATTAAAACTGAATGGTTTTCCGAAAATGTTTATCAATTCATCAATTCACTATAATTTTAGGAACAATTTAAAGGAAGTTTTGTTCTAATTGCAGTAGGTAATTGCGGTTTAATTTGTAATTGATATCGTCGTCGGATGAAATCAATGATTCATTGTTATGTTAACCGACTTACTTACGTAACAGTTTGACGAGGAACTCAACTAGTTTCAAGCCAAGCTGGGGGCTCATATTCATAAGCAACTACTAAAGTTTCTAGTTATACAAAGTTATAATATCGAAAAGAAATACTTAGGTAGGTAACTAAATGATATCAGAGAATACACTGACACTTCTCAATGGAGTTCGGCAGGACATAAGCTTTGATCGAATGTGGCCATTGTTAGGAAACGAAACCAAGGCTCTCCAAAAGCATGTAGACGGTGTTGACTAAAAATCACGGTCCACGGTATTATTAAGATAAGCTCCAGCCTTTTGCGCTGCGACGCACCATAGGCTTTTTTGTGTGTTCCTAAATTCTTGTTGTGTGTCGTAGCAAAACAAATGGGTTTTCTTTCTTTCTTTCAAAACGGAGTCCAGAAAGTATGTTGTATAGACGATGTCAGAATCGCCGGAAGCAGAATAATTATGCATGCACAATCGAGAAATAGTTATAGCAGACAAATTGGCAATCTTTAAAGCTTCTTTATCTCTTGTGGTTGAAAGTGTTGAAACATCCTGGCCAGAT